CCCCGGGAGCCCCCTCCCAGCCCAGGGAGCCGGAGCCCACTGCAGAGCGGCGGGCCTGGGGACTGGGAACTATATATACCCAGGCACACGTGTGTGCCTCTGTGTGTGTGTGTGTGTGCGCGCATGTGTGTGTGTGCGCGCGCGCACGCATGTGACAGTGCGCGGATGGCTCCGCGCTACCTCCCCCCTGAGCACGGCCGCCCCCTGGGGCCTGGGATTGGACACCCCTTCGCACTGCTCTTGTCCCCCAAGCTTGATGGGACCCGCAGGAGTGGGCGGGGGAGGGACTTCTGAGTCTTGCCAAGCTGACAGTGCTCCTCTCCTTTGCCCCCATTTCTTCAACCTTCCTGCCGTTTTAACCCTTTACTCTCCTGCTTGTTGGCTGCCTGTCCAGGAGGGGTTTATCCCTAACTTCCTGCCTCTGACTTGTTTTCCCTACAGGGAGTGGTGAAAATGGAACTCAAGGTCTCTGCCTGCCGCTCTTTGGTGGTTTCCATGGGGTTGGGGTGCAGGAGGGGCTGGCCCACGGCTGGCGGGAGGGGGGGCTATTTTTAGCGGCAATGGCATTCGGGTGCGGAGATAGCTGAGTAACCAGCTCCTAAGCAAGGGAGAGGAGGCGGTGGCTTTCTGGAAGCTTTTGTGAGATTGGGAGAGAGCTGCTCAAAAAGGGTGACCCCTCCACCCTAAGCCCTCACTTTTAGGGTACTGCATCCCAGGGCTAATGCAGCTGGACCTAAGTCTCTGGGCCACCTAAGCTGCTCCACCACTCTCATTCTCGACATTTGTCCTTGGGCACCCATGGAGCCCCCCTACACACATACTGGAGGCCCTTGCCCCCAGTCCAGAAGCCAGGGTCAGGGGTTAGGCTGTTCTGTGCCCACACAGCTCTGCCCAGCCTTGTGGAGGACAGAATCAAGTGCTTCTGCACTTGCACCCTTACAGAGGGGGATGGAGGAGTGGGGTACTCCCTTCACAAAGCAAATCCCCTAGCAACTGCAGATAAAAGTGGTCTCTTTCCCATTGTAGGGTTCCCCCTCACCACCACAATCCTAGTTCACTCAGCCCCTGTGTGAAGTGGAGCTCAGCTTTTGGCTTCATCTTGTCCTAGGGGGTTGTTGCTTACATCCACAAGATCCCTTTCCCTAAGCTATACCAGGTGTCCTCCGATTCACCATGGTAATGTTAGTGGCAGCACAGCCCACGCCAACCCTTCCATGCAGAGACTTAGCAACCATGCCTGGCAACCATGGCAGCAGCTCCGGTGGAAAGGAGGGGTACAGGGAGAGAGAAAAGAGAGTATGGCAATGGTTCCTCAGGAAGAAGGGACAATTTGCCTCCCCTCAGAGGGATATGTAAGATTAGAAGCCTGTGAGCTTCATCCCTTATTTTTCTCGAGGCCAGAAGTGCTGTTGTGGAGCAGGGACGGGACTTACTAAAAAAACAGCACAAAACCCAGGCCTCCTGCTTTCTAACATGGACCTTTACAGAGAACCTAACCATTTCTGTCCCATCCACTTCCCGCCTTGATTCCATTCACCTACCAGCTGCACTGATGGCTCTGCTTGAAGATACTTCATCCACCCTGGATCCCACTAGAATCCTGCAGCTTTTTAAACCCCTGCCTCCTCCCAGACAAATCCTCCTTCATGAAGGAATGTGACATAAGGAGACAACTGTCCTTTCCACCATGCACCCACCCACACACATACAAACATACACTGATTCTAATGGCTTAGAAACGTCCCTCCCCCAGGTTTGGGAGTATGCTGTGAAAGCCGAGAAGAGGTGACTGCAGAGGCAGGACTCTTACAGGGGTGCAGCAGGGAAAGCTCAGCTCTGACAAGTGCCTACTTTTCCCCGTGTCCCACCAGGAAGCCTCATTTGTAGGAACCTCACCTGGAGGTTCATCAGAAGGTTCAGGTATGATGGAGGAAGCGCCAAGAAATTACTCTGAAACTGCTGCTGGCTTACTTGCATGGGAAACTGAGACCTGCAAGGCAGCAGTGAGATGGTGCCCAGAACCTGGCTCACACCCTAGTTTGGCAGTCCTTGCAGTGTTTGGCCTGAGCACTGTTTCCGTCCATGTGGTTTCAGCACAGGGAATGGGTCTGACGGGGTGACCATGGTCCTGCTGTCCCCACACACTTACTCTCTAACTTATCCTTACCCTAGAAGAAAGGCAACTGGCAAAGGATTATAAATTAAAAGTTAACTACCAGCCCAGCAAAATCCAGCCACAGCCTTGCCTTCCCTAAGGCAAGGCAAGAATGGTGGCAGTTCTCTCTCTCCAAACAGGAACCTTAGTCTGTCCCCTCTCTGGAGACCCAACATTGGTGAGATTTTCCTGAGGCTCCTCCTGTGGCCCAGGCAGGGGGAAAAGTGAAACAGGGACTAGGGTAGGGAACAGTTGAAAAAGGAGAATTAGAGGTAATAAGCCAGGGTAGTGAAATAGAAGCACAAAACCTGGAGCCAGAGCATTTGGGAACAAATCCTAGCTTTCCTTTTTATTGGCTGTGTGGCCTTGAACTAGTTTCTTAGCCTCTCTGTGCTTCAGTTTTTAAAAATCTGTTAAAACGAGAATAGTAATAGTATCCAGTACTGTCCTGAAGACCAACTGAATTAACACAGGTTGAACATCCCTAATCAAAAAATGTGAAATCTGGCCAAGTCTGGTATAATGTCTATTTTAGAGGCTGAAGCAGGAGGACTGCAACTTTGAAGCCAGCCCGGGCAACTTTGTCTCAAAATAAATTAAGAAAAAGGGGCTAGGAATGTAGCTCAGTGGTAGAGCACATGCACAAGGCCCTTGGTTTAATCCCCAGTAGTGAAAAGAAAAGTCTGAAATTTGACATACTCTATAATTTGAAACACTTATGGTTCTAAATACTTTTCATAAAGGATATTCAACCCGTACTAGTAAAACTGTAAGAATGATACTCGATACCTTGTTATATATGTATACATACAGCTATGTATGTATGATGAAGAAGCCATGTGAATTAGAAAGGCTGAAGAAATTGTGTCTATCAGCTATAAAAATCAAATACTGTAACACCATGATGAGACTGTTGTCATTTAATTAGATTTGCCATAAAAATAACCTTGGCGAACCACTTTGCCCTGCTCCTCCACCTAACCATCTCGCTTCATATGCACACAGCACAGGGACCCAAAGGCTGTCCTCCCCACAAGCCTCCTCACTCAAGTGAGGGCAAGAGATGCCACTAAATGGACTCAGCCTCCTCCATACAGCATGAACAGGAAGAATAAAAATATCTTTATGACAAATTTGTTGTGCTGTTATCTTACGGCAGAGTCAGGACAGAGGCAAAAGCAGAGGCAGGGTGAGGTCTAGGGATCTCTTAGAGATCAGAATTTGCCTGGGGAGCAGAGCCCCTGTTTCACCCTAAAGGGGATTAGGCCTAAGGACAGGCCAGGACTGGCTAGCTGAAAGTTCTCTACGTGTGTGAGGGAAGGGGCAGCTAAACTTCTTTCTCCTTTTCCTCATGTCTCCCATCTTCTGCAGAGAGGGTGGGGCTTCCTGCACAGGGAAAGCGTCAGCTCAATTCTCCCAGGGTTTCATCTGCTTCCCAGAGCTTCCATGAGGTGGTGAATGGGCCATGTCCCGATGCTGCCTTGATCCCATCCCCCTGCTCAGGGCTTCTTCTCTCCACCTGTGAGCACCAGAGCCTGCAGGATGTCAGACAGTGACACAATGCCCTTGACCACATCATTCTCATCCACCACTACCAGTCGGTGAACCTGGCACAGAGCAACAGGGAGAAGGGATGTTTAGTGCCAGCCTTGGTAAGAGTAAGCCCTCAGCCCATAGCCCTTTCAAGCCCATCCCCAGCTCTTCGAGGCTGGTCCCTACCTCTGCCTCCACCAGCCTGTTGATTATAGTCTCCAGAGTCTCATGCAAGTAGCACTTGAGAACACCCTCAAAGTAGTGTGATCGATGCTGGAGGGCTTTGGTCACAGATAAGTCTAGGTTGTTGTAGGTCTTTTCCGCTGCCAAATTCTGGGGAGAGAGAGGAAGGGCTTGCAGGGAAGCAAGGGAGCCAGCCCCCAAGTTCAGGACCCACCCAAGCTCACCAGAAAGATTTAGGGCAATTGTCAGCCACGCCCACAAGCCACAGCCAGCTCATTCAATTCCTTTTCCAATAGGATTTGAAAGCCTGGAACTTTCCAAAACCCTTAGGTCACAGAAGAGACTCCCTTCTCCCTCTCCACACTCAACCCCCCCCCCCACCGCCCTTCCTTACTTCCCAGCCCTTACGAATCACTCACGATAACATCAAACTTGGAGTAGATGTCCACCACGCGCCCTAGGGGGAGACAGAGGCAGCTCAGCAAAGGGATCTGGCCTCCAAGACTCCCCCTACCCACAGAATTGCCCTCCAGGCTGAGCTGAGGCGAAAGCAGATTTTCCCAGAGCAACCTGACCCCTGGAGCCCTCCCCCTCTCCTTTCTAATTTCTCACCTTTCTCATCCACCACTGGCAGTGCTGAGACTCGGTGCTGTACAAAGATGCCCAGAGCCACGTAGACGGGGGTGGTAGTCCGGACCATCGCAATATTGGCATAGGTGCCAATCTGTAGCTCTTCCAGAGACTTAGACATGAACTCTGGCTTGGGGAACTCAGTGATCTGAGAAAAGAACCACTAGCTTAGCTTTTAAGGTCTTCAAACTACCCTTGAAGAACTTTCCAACCCACTACATAAGAAATAAGAAGTGGGTTGAGGAGAACTTACAAACAATTTGAGGAACTTGAGAATACGCTTGTGAGTAAGGATGTACAAGGTGTTGCCTGATTCTGGGTCAATAACTGGCAGCCTGTGGATCTTGTTTTGAATTAAGGAAGAGACAGCATCAAACAAGCTGTGAGAAAGTGGGGGATAATGGTAAATTCCATAGGTAAGTTCCTTAGACTGTTTAGAAAACTGATGCTGAGAGAGGGGATGGTGTTCAGAAAAGACTTAAAGAGCAAGTGAGTGAGTATTGGGAAAAACATCTTTTCTCTCTTCTGCTCCTTTCCTTGGAGCTTTGGGTGTTTGGGGTTTTAGCTATGCTAACAAGGCTGTTCTCTTTTTTGGATAAGTGGATAGGTGAACTCACCTGGCATTAGGAGAAATGCAGACAAGTGGCTTAAAGGAGTCCTGTAGGTATACCTCTGAAGGAAAAATGGGCAGTTCACAGAATACTGCTGTGGAAAGGCATTTTCCAGGAACTCCTCCATCCCTGCATGTTTTTACAACCCCAAATTCTCCACATACCTCTCCAAGTTTCTATTTTGTGTTCTTCTAGCTCATAGATCTGTACCTGGAAGAAGAAGCAACAGAATTTGAGACCTGATCTTGCTTCATTTATCCTTGTGGTTTGCCTGGGAATAAAGGACTTTGGCAGGGAACATGGTTTTTATTTGGGGGAGGGCAGCTAAGGCTTCTTACCAAGGCTGACTTATAGTAACGGTGTAGAATATTGATGAAATCGGTGATGGTCAGCATGCCTAGAGGCCAAGACAAGAACTCTCAGCACTTTCCAAAGCTTCTCTCCCTGCCCAGAACAAGATGCCAATAATACTGATCTAGAAACCTGTGCTTACCCACAAAACTTTGCTTCTTACTGTCCCACAAAGGGGCAGCACGGACACCATTAGTCACCAAAGCAAAGAAAGCTTTCTTCACCTGCAGGCAAGAAAGTCACAATCATAAAGGGAAATTCAGAGGGCAGGACTGTAAGAAAGAGGGGTTGGTATGCTGCTGAAAATGTGAGACTAACCCCATAAAAGGATGAAGCTGCTATCCTTGGGATGAGATGGGATGAGAGGTACTGAACCAGAGGCTCCTAGGAAGTGGGAAGGGAAAAGAAGATTCCACTCACCTGTAGGGAAGTATCAAATACAACCAATTTGGAGCTGGTGGGAATCAGGTCATAGCAGCGATGAGACTTCATGAAGGAAGTATATACACTATTGTTGGATTCTGGGGTCTCTGCATGGGGTGGGATAGTTAGTAGCTTTCTTCCATGTAACAACTCCCAATCAAAAAAGAGAAAACAGTGTTCTAGTTTCACAAATATTTAGAACATGTTTTTAATAAGGCCCCCTCTTCTGTTTTGTTCCTACTGTTCTCACAAAATCTGGATAAACCCCTTAAAACTATTTCAACCAATGCCTACCTCCATGTAAGACTGTATTTATTGGCACCTGAGGTAAAAGAAGGCTGATTAGGGCCAGGGATCTAGTTCAGTGGTTCCACCGCCTGCCTCGAAAGTGCAAGGACCCGAGTTCGATCCCCAGTACCAAATAATAATAATAATAATAATAGAAGGCTGATTAAAACAAAGTCTAAAATATCTCTGATTAACCAGTGCTAGTCTAAAAGTTTGTCATCTTTAGTTCACGTTTTTCCTTCCACATATCTAGCATTTTTTTCCACTTGTCTTTTCTCAACGAAGATGAAATATCAAGTAAGTTTCTTAAACTTCTTCTAAGACCTGCAGGTAGGAAAGTCATGATATGAGCTGGGCCATTTCTTGAATAGTAATTGGAGCCCAGTGATCAACCTGGCCCAAAATACCCTACGGGTCCATTCTAGGATCACCTGGTGAATAAGCAGTCAATCCACCTGCTCTAGACAAATTGGAAAGCCCGATTAGCTTAGCTCCATTCCTGTGATTTAAAAAAATTTTTTTATTTTTGGTACTAGGGATTGAACCCAAAGCTTCACAAATGTTAGGCAAGCACTCTTCCACCAACCTACATCCCTGGCCCTTTATATTTTTTTATTTCGAGACAAGGTCTTGCTAAATTGTCCAGGATGGCCTCCAACTTGCAATCCTCTCCCTCAGTCTCCCCAGCAGCTGGGATTATAGATGTGTGCCACCATACCTAGCCATTCCTGTGATTTTCATTGTTTGCTCTAAACTAGAAAACAACCTGCCCCCAAATAACAGCCTGAATGTGCTATGTACTAGGCTATCTGTACTTTAAAATATTACATTATTTATTTAAAAGAAATTTTTTGTTTGTTTTTTTGAAACAGTCTTGCTACATAGATCAGGCTGGCCTTGAACTCAGTATGTAGACCAGGCTGGCCTTGAACTCTCAGCAATCCTCCTGCCTCAGCCTCTGAAGTGCTGGGATTACAGGCTTGTGCCATCAGGCCTGGCTTCAAATCCTTACACTGTATCTATAAAGTAAGTATTGTCCTGATGTTTCAGATGAGAAAACATTTGTACAGCAGTTAAATACACTGCTCAAGGTCACATCATTAGTAAGTGGCAAGAATGCTTCAAACCCATCTCCCTGTTCTACCCCACTCCAGAGATGAGCACATTGACTTCTTTTAGCTGATTATTTTGGTTTATTTCTGTGTCATTACATTGGATGCTTGCATTGCTACTTGCTTTTTTTTTTCATTTTGATCCACATCTATTTTCCTAAGAAGGAAGATGAGAATTTTTAGTTCTCTTTCCTACCCGAATCCCATCACAACCATCCACTTCTCACCTTCCTCACTCCCATTCTTCCAGGAGTTAAACGTTAATATTGGTTATACCAATACTTACACCAATTTGGCTAAATACTGATTATCAAAGCTAAACCAAATAGTAAATTCTTATTTTTTTCCCTTCTTTTGTAACTGTTTTTCCTGGAGTTAATAATGGTCTTTTCCTTTTGTTGGCTTAGATTTCTATGTATAGTACTTATGACTAAGTCAACTCCCAGACTCTTCACCAATTATTTAACATGTTCCCACCAGCTTGAACCAACAGTGGCATATGCAAGACAGTCCCATCAGGTGCTACAAGCTGCCTGTCATGAATGTGTTAAATTTCTTTTTTTTTTCCAGTACCAGAGATCGAACTCAGGACCTTGCACTTCCTAGGCAGGAGCAGTGTCACTGAGCTAAATCCCTGGCCCTTTAAATTTCATATCCTATCAATTTAAACTACCAAAGAAGCCTCGCTGGAGCCTCCTGACCTGCTCCAATCTGGTTTGCCTCGTGTGCAATGCTGCCATTCTGAGACCTTCCTCCATCACTGTTCAAGGGTCTCTCTCACATCTCTACTGGCACTCCTGTTTCCTATATCACATATTTTCATCTTTTTTGGTTATTTCTGTTTTGGTGGAGCACATCCTGAGAAAGGATACATGGGAGGTAAGTGTTTGGAGATCTTGAAGCCTGTAGATATCTTTATTCTACCCTCATCCTTCCTTTAGAATTTTTTTTTTTTTTTTTTTTGGGTACTGGGGATCAAACTCAGATCCTTGCCCTTGTGAGGCAGGTGGCAGAACCACTGAGCTAAATCCCCAGCCTTCCTTGATTTAGAATTTGACTGGATAAAGAATTCTAGGTTGGAGTTTATTTTCCTGCAGAATGCTGAAGGCTTTGCTTCATTGCCTGTTAGCTGCTGGTATTGTTGGGAGTCCCAGGCAGTTCAGATTCTTTTTGACTTGCTTTTTCTTTTCTGGAAACTCACAGGATCCTTCTCTCTTTGTTTCTAGTGTTCTGAAATCTCAAGATGCTTTAGGAGAGTCAGGTGCATCCATTGTACTGAATATTCAGTGGGTTCTTTCAATATGAAAACTAATGTCTTTCAGTTCCAAGAAATATTCTTGAATTTCTGCCTTGATTACTTCCTTCTACGTTGACACTTTTCTTCTTCTGTAACCCTTATTATTTAGATAGTAGACCTCCTAGACTGACCTTTTCATGTTTGTTTGGGTTTCTGTGGACTGGGTTTGTTTTGTGTGGCAATACTAGAGATTCAACCCAGGGTCTTCATGCTGAACTATATCCTCAACCCTATTTTATTTTGATGTTTTTGGTTTTTTTGGTACCGGGGATCGAACTTGGAACCTTGCGCTTGCGAGGCAGGTGGCGGAACCACTGAGCTAAATCCCTGGCCCTATTTTTTTATTTTGAGACAGGGTCTAAATTACTAAGTAACCTAGGGTATACTCAAACTTGTGTCTTCCTACCTCAGCCTCAGAGTGCTGAGATCATAGGTTTGTGTCACCATGTCTGGCTTTGTGGTTGTTTTGAGACAGGGTCTCACTATGTAGTTCAGGCCACCCTTGAACTCACAATGTAGCCCAGGCTGGCCTTGAACTTTCAGAGATCTTTCTGCCTCAGCTTCTGAGTGCTGGGATTTCAAGTGTGCAACACCACATGCCTGGCTGTTGTATTTAAAATATTTTTTCTCTCCTATTTTCTGGTTCTTTGATGATGTTTAAACTCTACTTTCTGGGAGAGCCTCACCCAATTTTTCCAAATCTACTGGGTTGCCGGCCATGGTGGTACAGGCCTGTAATCCCAGCACTCGGGAGGCTGAGGCAGGCGGATCACTGAGTTCGAGGCCAGCCTAGGCTACATAGTGAGTTCAGGGACAGCCTGAACTACAAAGGGAGAGAGCCTGCCTAAAAAAAAAAAAAAAAAAAAAGAAAAGAAA